TGGTAAATATTTTCTTGCTTTGTGGTGTTGACTATGTATATTCGAGGTGTCGCTTTTAATGTTTTTGGTGCTGACTACATACAATTACATACAATTACATACAATGGCAAAATCCCCCGTGTTAGTTAGAACCACGGCTTCTTTAAACCTTCTAAAAGTTATAACATGTACACAATTCATGATCGCGTCTTTTAAACAGTGAAATTCTCACGCCAGTAACTGTGCAGTGGTTCTCAATCTTCTTGTTGCCGCGACCCTTTAATACAGTTTCTCATGTTGTGGTGGTCACCCCAACCACCTTAAATACGTGGTTTTTTTCGATGGTCTTAGGCGACCCCTGTGTAATGGTCGTTCGACCCAAAAGGAGACATAACCCACAGGTTGAGTACCGCTGATCTAGATCAAGACAGTGGCGTGGTCAGTTGGTATAAGGAGTGACGTCCCGCCGAGCACCGATCAAAGTGGGTGTGACGTGGAGACTACACTGGCTTAGTACAGGGTGTCATTCTTGTATTTTTTAATGAAGTGCCAGCCTATGTTTGTCACCCCCTAGCTAAATGTATACCCAACTTGCCACCCCCAAGCTAAATGAACACCCAACTTGTCACCCCTAGCTAAATGTACACCCCACTTGCCACCCCTAGCTAAATGTATACCCAACTTGCCACCCTTAGCTAAATGTACACCCAACTTGTCACCCCCTAGCTAAATGTACACCCAACTTGTCACTCCCAAAAAATGTACACTAGATATAAATATCTACTTGTCACGCCTATCAGAATGTACACTAGATACAAATATCTACTTACCCCTATCAGAATGTATGTTAGATACAAATATGTGTGAAAAAGTAGACATTTATTTTTATTTTGTTTTTAAACATTACATTTTAAAGATACGATTCTTTTATTGATTTAAAAAAAAATAGATTGGTTTTTTTTTGTCCTCTGCAATGTTCAGATTCATGTTCATCTCAAACCTAAATATTGGTACAAAGACAAACCTTTTTAAACTAGAACACTTTACACACAAAGACATCTCCATTATTTATTAGACGTTAAATCTGCCGTCAAACTGCCCAGGAAATTCACTCATTTAGTGACAATATTGACTTTAAAAGTGATTAATTGATTTTAAGATTAAAGTTGAAGATGGATGATAACTTTTTTCATTAAATTAAAATAGAAGAAATACTCCTGCTAATACCCTAATTGTTTTTTTTTAAATCCTAATATCAAACAACAATTGTCAATCTATCTGAAAGCTACCAGACATGGTGATAACGTCTCCAAATTTTTGCCTCCCACAGGGTCAAAGAGTTCTGCAACACGTTGCATATGGTGTACTTCTGCACAGAGGCCCTGTTTGTTAGTGTCCTCGAGGTCAACACCAGCGGTTCTTACACGGCGTTTGATGCGGGGCTTCCATTTGATGGCGTCAAAGTAGGTTGACAACAAGCGACGACGCGTGCAATGAGTCAGTGAGAGCGTTTCATTATTTGTATTGAGTCGTTGACGCAGAAAGGGTTCGTGGTCGACTGACAGCTGGGTAAAGATTATAAATATTATTATTGTATTTGTGAAGAGCTGATGAGGAGCTTGGGGTGTTAAGATCCCAAAGAAGCTGGAGAATGTTAGATCACAAAGAAAGCTGGGGGGGGGGAGGGGGTTAAGATCACAAGGAAGGTGGGAGGAGGTTGTTAAATCACAAAGTAAGCAGGAGGGGGTTAAGATCACAAGGAAGGTGGGAGGAGGTTGTTAAATCACAAAGTAAGCAGGAGGGGGTTAAGATCACAAGGAAGGTGGGAGGAGGTTGTTAAATCACAAAGTAAGCAGGAGGGGGTTAAGATCACAAGGAAGGTGGGAGG